GAGGACAATATGAATCTACGTGCTTGCAGGTACTGTCAAAGTGATAAAAAATGATAGAACTTATTGATAGAAAAGCCGTAATAAACTGTTTGGTTTTGATGATGACAACACCTAATATCCAATGTTATCTAGTGAAGTTGTTATTTCATGAAGATAGCTCAAGCACTCGAAGAAGATCTCAATATCAAGATGCTCAATATATTTTATCAAGCTATTCCTTTGAAGATTCTGTTGAAGATCAACTAATCTCTTTGAAGTCAGTACTTGATATCTAACGATGTTAAAGTGAAGACTTTTGTTTCAAGATTCTCAGGTGGTCAAGTCTCTCAACTCTCTAATGATGACAATCAAATTGAATACATCTCAAGCCTCAACAAGCAAGAAGATTCAAAGTTCTTCTGTGATGCTAAAGTCAAAGATAATGATGGCAAGACATGAAGTTTCAGAGTTGTGAAAGAGAGGGTGTGTGAAAGCTCGTTTTATCATGTTTGTTTGAGTGACAAGTGTCTTGTAAAGGAAGAAAGACATTTCTGGAATTACTATGACAAAATCACACACACTAAAATCCTTTTGAAATCCTATCTTATTTTGTTTAAACCACCTAAAAATATTTTTATGGTCTAGTTAATTGGTCAAGGGAACCGTCTGATAAATTGGAAGCCTTTTTACAAAGTAAAATTGATTAGCCTTAGTGCTATAATCAATTATTACAATTGTTAATGCTCATAATTAATTGGAAGAGGTCTCTTAATGATTGGCAACGACTAGAAATCAAAACATTCCTTTTTGGATCAAATAATTGATTAGCCTAATCGATTATGAGACTTAAATTTTCTTTGGAATGTTTCCAAAATTTCACCATGCCTTATCTTATAAATAGAGAGATCCTCTGTCATTTCAAATCACTCCGAAAACTATCTTTGATCCTACTTTCTCAATCTATCATCTTTTTTCTATAAATATATTGTTTTCTCACTTATATCTTGCCATTAGTGTTTCGTGTTCTTGTGCTTTTTGAGGATCATTGTTATGGGTGAGGGCATAATTATAATTTACCAGGAGTGTATTATTTCTCAAGTAAAGTTTTCTCCTATAAGAACTTGTTTGATTGTAAGCTAAACCAACCAAAGTTCTTGTTTGATTTGGGAATTGTCTTAGGAAGTCTTTGTTTGGTTCAAGAGTTTCGCCTACTACAAAAAGCTCTCTTTTAATTCGTGAACACCAGTCATCAAAATCACCACAAAGGTTCGTGAGCTCAACTCAGTGTACAAGCTCTATTGGTTCAAGATTATATTGTGTAAAATCTCATCTTGGTTCCTGAGCTCAACCTGATGTAAAATCTATGTTGGTTCGAGATTAGTTTGTGTAAAATCTCAGGTTAGTTCAAGATTAGCTTATGTAAAATCTCACCTCAATTTGGAGGTCATTCTATATAAAACCCTACTTCAGTTCAGAGGATAATCAGTATAAAACTTCATCTCATTTTAGATGATATCCAATCAAAACTTTATTGTTGTTTGGTTGGAAGTTAGCCATTGAAAAAATTCAAATCTTTGTAAAAGGAGGTCTCGTGGGCATATGCTATTGAAAGCTCTCAAGATAATCTAAAATCTCAAGAAGAATTCTTAGGGGTAAGAGTAGGTCAAGTGGTTAGGCCGAACTTGTATAAATTTCTGGTGTCTTTCTCTTTCCCTAATCACTTTTACTTTTCAGTTATTTTCTTTCCTCTGTTTTTCCATCTATCTTTTTTATTGTGCTGCTTATTTACTTGTCTCTTTTACAAATATTTTTAAATTCTGATTTTACTAAAGATTTTGTTTTTAACCAAAGTTTTTCAAAAAACACCCACAATTCAACCCCTATTATGTATGAAGTCTCATGTCCTACATGCACGACTTAAACCATTCTCAAATGTGTTTCTTGATTCAAACCTCCGACTATTGGACTAAAAATATATTGTGTTGACCTTAATCAAATAGTTTGATTTATGCATGCGTAAAATTGATTAAACACTCAACCTTATAATGTACAACTATGTGAGGAGACTTAATTACGAAAATATAAACCAAAACTAAATTGACAAACAACAAAACATAAATGGGTAAATCCTAGGAGACAAAGACAACTCCAGGTGCCAGTTCACTCACGATTCTCAGGAATTTAAAGGTCTCGTCGACTTTAAGGAACAATTTATTCGCTATTGCGTGTTTCAAATAAACTATGTAACATCGACACTTTTAAAAATAGATATGTCCATGTCGGTGTAGTTTTTTTAGTTAACGAACATAAATATTCATAATGTTATTTTATTTCATTATTTTCTCTTTCTTTAATCTAATTGTTAAAGTCTAGATAGTAGTAGCAGGAAAACCCTGCATCATATGGTTAGACCAAAAAAAGTCTTAATATTAATGCATTAAATTCTATTCATCTTTGAAAAGAAAAATATATGTTTGCTTTCCATATCTTTTGAATTTTATCATCTCTCATCTTTCCTTTCAAATTTGTTTTAGACATTATGAAGAACACACTCTGCCTTTACCAACAAACTAACTCTTAAATATGTATTCAATAGTTTTCTTCACATCCTTTCTTCTTTTTTAATCAAAAGTGATAAAAAAAATAGATAACTTAAATGAGGTTGAATTTTGTGACTAAAATTGTTAAATTTATTATATTCAGTCCTTAATTCTATCTTCAAATTTTACAGTTTTTCTTCTATAATTTGTTATCTTAATAACTTATAAAATATGAATTCTGATTTTCGTGTCTCTAGAAAATCTTCATACACTAAAAATATTTAAATACATTAAACATATCAATAATAATGTTAAATATTTAAGTATGTTTTAGCACACATAAAAATACAACTTTAAAATTTTAGTCTAAACATAATATATTTTGGTCCTAACTTATAAAAAAATAGTTTTCCCATTCATATTCACTTGCCATTATCCATCTAGCATATCATATCATCATGATCAAAATCATCATTATTTTCACCAACCTCATCATGAAGTGAGAGACGAAAAACAAAATTTTCATTAATCATTTTAAGCTAATGCTTATTTATACTCTAAAATACTCATAAAAGAATTAAATATAGTACTTTTTCGTCCTTATAATAAGTGTTATACATTCACACATATTAACAAAAATATAATAAATAAAAAAGAAAAAATAATTTTATTCAATTATGCAACTGCTGTATTTTAATTATTATAAATACAAATTATAATTATAATGCACAATTGGAAGATAACAGTAAAAGTTACATTGAAAACTTAAAAGTGATATTTATTTTGACAATTTTTTTTATAGATAGGACATATTTTAGAAAACAGAAAATATCAATTAAATATTCTTTCTTACGTACAGATTAATTTCTTAACTTACCATATAAAATTTTATTTTTATAAATATTTTTAGTATTTAGTTTATTAGTTAAATTATCAACAATAAACTATAAGCTATCAAATATTAGTATAAATTAGTTTTATCAAAGAGAGCATTATTAATGCTATGTCCGATTTAGAAAAAAGAAAGTGGAAAGAAAGTGAGGGAGAGAAAGGTGACAATTTTGGATCTTTTACCCCAGTACCCCCTTTTGAAAAAAAAATACCAAAATACCCTACTTTGAAATTTTTTTATCAAGATACCCCCTTTCTTGTATGGGCTCGTCCATTCATTGGACCAACTAGTTTAGCCCACTACATGCTCGCCCATTGGAAGGACGAGCTAGTGGAGAATTTTTAGGCTACATGAGCTCGTCCATTGAAAGGACTAGCGTGTGTTAGTTTGTTTTTTTTAATTTTTTTTTTCTGAATTATATTTATGTATTATTGGATTTATTTATTAAAAAATTTAATATTTATTTAATAATAAAATAATAATATAAATTTTAATAAATAATAAAATTTTATTTTTTTTAATTCTTAATTTTATGTATATTTATTTTTTAATACATTTTTTATTTAGTGGGCTAAACTAGTTGGTCCAATAATACATTTTTTATTTTTTAAAAAATAAATAAATAAAATTTTATTATTTACAATTCATAAATAAATAAATAAAAAATGTATTAAAAAATAAATATACATAAAATTAAGAATTAAAAAAAATAAAATTTTATTATTTATTAAAATTTATATTATTATTTTATTATTAATTATAATAAATAAATATTAAATGTTTTAATAAATAAATCCAATAATACATAAATATAATTCAGAAAAAAAAATAAAAAAAACAAACTAACACACGCTCGTCCTTTCAATGGACGAGCTCATGTAGCCTAAAAATTCTCCACTAGCTCGTCCTTCCAATGGGCGAACATGTAGTAGGCTAAACTAATTGGTCCAATGAATGGACGAGCCCGTACAAGAAAGGAGGTATGCTGGTAAAAAGTTTTCAAAATGGGATATTTTGATTTTTTTTTTTTTCAAAAGGGAGTACTGGGTTAAAATATCCGACAATTTTCTTTCTTTGAATCTATTTAAAAAGATGAAGGTAAGACAATTTTCAGATGGGACCCGCACGAAGAATCTTGTTTCCCTCCATTCTACCGAAAAAGACAAAACAGTCCCTAGTATCCTCTTTTTTCACGCTACAATCTAAGTCTAAACTGGGGAATCAATATTTTCTTTAAATCGGTAAGGCAACATGAATACACATTTGGTATAGTAAAAGTTCTTCCACTACACAATTTAACCTAAAGTGGATTGAATTCAACAAATGATAAATGATCGAGGAGCTCAAATATTTAATTATTATTTTCATTTTAAATAAAGTTGAGAGTAAATTATTATGGTCGTTAAAATAAGAAAAGAAAACGACAATGAAGGAAAGGAAGTAAACGTCAACAGACAGAGTGACAGACATTCACAGCAACAAGTGCCCCATGATATTTATCAACTTTTGACGCGACCATATATTTCTCTATTTACACCCCCACCCACCACTTCATTGAAACAGTTTTCACCTCTCTCACCAACAAGATTATGGCAGACCCAACAACTTTCATAGCAACATGGCTCACACCTTCTTCCCTTTTCATCATTGTAAACCTCGTCATAGGTACCATAGCTCTCGCTTCTCGCTTCAATGCTCCACCCCAAAACCAAACCAACCAACAACAACAACCTCACCTCAACCGTTCACCTTCCTTTCTCCAACGTCTCAGGTCTTTCAATAATAACAACCACCATAACGAACCCGAGTCGGAGCCCGAGTTCACTCATCCTCAACTCGTTCGAAAACCGTCTCTATTACAGCGAGTCGTATCCTTCAATTTCAACAAACACGAACCACAACACCCACAAACACATTACGCTCAACCCGAGTCAGACTCCGAGTCCACTCAGCCTCAACTCGTTCGAAAACCATCTTTCTTGCAGCGAGTCATGTCCTTCAAAACACACCCCGTTCAACCCGAATCCGAAGACATATCTACTAACCAGATTTGTAATGAGGATAAGACTAAGGTGGAGATGAAGAAATCTGCGAGCAAGAAAGAGTGTTCGATGACGTCTGAATGGGAGGAAGAGGATGAAGAAACAGTGGAGCGAAGGAGGCCAGCGACTGCAGCGGCGAGAAGCGAAACAACGACGTGTAAAGAAGATGAAGCGGTGGATGCAAAAGCTGATGATTTTATCAACAGGTTTAAGAAGCAGTTGAGGTTGCAGAGGCTTGATTCATTTATCCGCTACAGAAACACCATGTGAGGAATTTGTTGATGAGGACAGAGACAAAGCTATGGTACTAGTAGTATTTGAAAGAGGAAAAACATAAACATATAGGAGGACAACGTTGTCTTGTCCTCATGGGAAACTGTATGTGTTTTGGTGTAGTAGTTTAGAGATTTGTTTTTGTTTTTGTACCAAACATTAAAACTGGAAAAATTGCTGCATGTGTTTATATGTTTATCTAGTTTATCCAGAAACATTTTGGGTTTGATGCGATGAGTTGAAATTGTACTACATTTGTAATAATGTTGCAGTTGCCACTATTTTAATATGTTCGGTAAAAGAGGAAGATCCTCTTTCACCTTATCTCTCTTCATTATTTGTGCTGGATTTTTTCTGAACAATGAAAAGGCTATTGTTAAGTAGTGGTTGCCCTGTGAGTTTTGTAGGGTGTTTCTCGAAATATTTAGGATTGGCTGCTCATATTAAAATCTAAAAAACAAGTTTTGATTTTGTGTAGGATAAGATTTGGATAACGTTAAAAGGCTGGAAGGAAATAAAAATTGTTGTTCACAACATCATAAAGAAATAATGCAATCAGATAGAGTATGATATGCAAGTTTTGGTAGGGCATCAAAGATGAAAGCTGGACCATCATAAGTTTTTGGATTATCATAAATCTTTGGACTCTCGTAAGTAATGGTCATTTAAACATTTCGGCCTTTTAAGTCTCGTATTTGGAAAGTTATGGACCATCATATGCGATAAAGCAAGTCTGGCTCACAGGCAATGCAATATCAAGATTTACATCTCAGCTTGAGGGGGCAATATCTAAAGGGGATTGCTCACTACACATTTAGTGGTGCTCACATTTTTTTAGAAAAACTGCCCCTTCTCTAATTTTGGAGATACATTTAGAGGTGCAATATCTAAAGGATAAACACTTATACTTTCAGACGCGTCTAAGTTATATTATTGTGTCAGAACTTATTTTAATTTAAAGAAAAATAGCTTATAAGCATGTCTCGTTTCTCACAACTTTTACTAATCTAAGGGGTTTCTCAATCTCTATTCTACTCCATTCAACCCAAGAGCTTCCGCATCTCACATTTGGTAAGTTTTTTTTTTTTTTTTTTTTTCATTTTCTTCGTATATTTTTTATTTGTGATAAATGAGTTACGTAAATAGGTTGCTTAAGGTATATTAAGTTGTAGTTACAATCATATTACATAATTTATTGAGGCATGGATTGACATTTTTGATGTTTAGAGCATATGTCATGTTGAGTTTATGCGTTTTTTGCAATTTCTAAGTATCATATGTTACAGAAGTGCATTTTCGAATTTTTTTCTTCTTTTGAATTTGAATTTTCTGAGTTACATAAGTGCACTTCCGTATTTTTTCCGCATCTGATATAATTGTTTGATTTTGAATGTATGTTATATGAGTTTGAATTCTTTGATTATGATATGATTTTTCTGGTTTAATTATATGTAAAATGATGGACAACCATGATAGATTGATATCCGGTAGAGTGTCTCAACATGCATCTGTTCACACACAGAGATAGCTCCTAGTCACCACAAATTGGTGTCAGTTCGTTTGATGTAGAGAGATTATATTCTCGAATTCAAGAGTTTCCGACATCGTCTTCTCGAAGGCACGTGTCACTCGTAGTTGCCCCAAAATCCTCTGAAGTCCATTTTGATTAGCATGATGATGATGTCGCCGTTCATAATGTCATTCATGTTGTTTTTTCAATAGGCTCCTATAATACTTCACTATTTACTCTATATGTAAACCATGATGTTAGGAACCATGAAAGATGTCCCTTGGATGACATAACCTTCTGCTTCAGATGGTTGACATGTGAGTCACGATTGATTTATCCATATTTGTCTGAGCAAGTCATGCGTAAGTTATGGTTTTTATATGATATTCCAAGAGACCCCACTCTGCTTTCCCCTTCCATAATCGTCCATATAAATTTTGATGCGATGTTTGATGACTTTTATAACCATCTATTACTAGAGGGAATACGAAGTGTATCAACTCCTCAACCATGAAGCATTGTGAAATTCTGGTATGCAGATCATAGATGTCCTAAGAGATATCGAGACACTTGATCTCTGCTAAAACACAATGACAAGAAAAAGCACAATAAAATTGCAGAAAAAAAACGAACACACAGTAATTGTTAACCCAGTTCGGTGTACAACAACACCTACGTCTGGGGGCTACCAAGCCAGGAATGAAATCCACTAGATAGTATTAATTCTAAGTTAAACAACCTCCAATTTACAACTTATCACTTAATCACTACCCATGCTTAATTTCTACCTAAGACTCTCCTAGGTATGAGACCCTTCTTAATTAATTTTCAATCACAGCAGTGACAAAAATTACAACTCAATGCAAACAATCCAGCTCTAGTATCAACACGATACAAGAGAGACTCATAAATACACAAACCCTAAAACTCACTAAGCAACACTGTATATTCCACATCATGATTAGGTTAAATCCATCCTATTTATAACCATAAACTAGACTAGATTTGGGCTTAAAAAACACAGCAATTCTGTTACACAGAATCTGCAACTTATTCTCAAGAATAGTTTCTTCAATCCAAAGTTTCCTAATATGTCTCCACACTTAGAAAGCGACATCTCCAAATTCCAATAGAATCTTTGATTCCCCAATTTTGAACGCCACCTATGATAAACAAATATTCCCATAATATTCTGAAATCTGGAAATAAAATAACAGTATTCAAAACTGCAAAGTAACAGACAAAGATGTCGAATCATCATGATAGGAAATCTTGTCCAACATCTTGCTGTTAAGTTAGTTTTACCAAAATTAATGCCAATCTCAAAAGCTTGGACTTATCAATCTCCCCCTTTGACAGATTTTGGCTAAAACTAACTAAATAACCCTTGCATACAAATACACAAAAAGTCAGCGGTAAAAATCAGAACAACAGCGGAAAAAACATAGCCTCCCCCTCAATCAGTTCCTTCTTCTGCAGCAAGAGGTTAACACTCTCCCCTTAAACAACAGTCGGTGGTTAACGGTTAGTTAAGTTAGTATTACTCCCCCTTTTTAGCCATAATATGAAAAAGGTAGTTAACTAACTAAATAACCAAACAATAACACAAGCATAACAAGAGTTTAAAGTACAAATCAAGCACATGAAGTGCCAAAAAAATCCTGGACATTCATCCCTTTCAAAACTTAACCGCACAAAAATGAATAAAACTACAATCAGATATCACCTTTAGTAGCCTCACCATTCTCGTCCTCTTCTTCTTCTCCATTAAGGTCACCATCATCTGACTCAACATCTTCAGCATCAGCCTCATCATCTTTTGCTGCATCCTTTTCAGCATTATCTGTACCACCAGCAGCTTCAGTTCCCTTGTCCTGTTCAGCTGTCAAGGCTTGGATTAACTGTTCAAGATTTTCCTTCCTAGTTGTGCTGAACATGACGATGGCGTCTAGATCCTTGCAAGTCTCCTTCAGTTGAGTGATAGTATCATCTTTTGAGGTTGTAGGAGTAGATGTTTGAGCAGATGTCGAAACAATATCTGAGACATGATCCCCAACAAACAGCTTATGGTGCAAAGTCAAAGGAGATTCCTTTTTCATTACATAATCAGCAGACACCAATATACCATGATACTGATCCAAAATTATACCACATATGAGAGAAGGAAAGCAGATAGGCATCTTAATGGCAGTTGATGATGCTTGCTTCAGAATTTGGTAAAAAATATAAGCACCAAAATCAAAATTCCTCTCTTTACCAACAACATATATGAACTTCCTAAGCCCAGTGGAGATGGTTGAGGTATGGTTGGTAGGAACCCAGTTGATAGTGCCAATTCTATGAAGAATTGCATAATTCACACTAAGCTTTCGAGCTGAAAGCTTACTTTTGCTGGGCCAATGCTTCATTGTATTATAGGTGATCTCCTGATCATCAGTATCTTCAAGCTCAGGCTGAGGGTCTTCTGATCTTCCCAGAAACTTGTTGATCATTGTGGAAGAAAATGTCACAACATTTCCTCTGACATACACCTTCTTATAGTCTTCACTATTAACATCAGCGCAACCTGCAGGATTGTTCACCACAAATTCCTTAACTAGCTTCTCATAGCAGGGACCAAATTTTGTGACAGTCTTCATAAGCCAGTAGCTTCAATAAGCTTTATCACATTTTTGCATTGTATGACATTCTTACCTAACTCCCTTTCCAAAGCAACCTTCCTTTGGTACACGTATAGCCACCTTTCCATATTTTCAGCAGCATGAAAGGACACATTGTCCACAGGAGCCTTAGGAATAGCAACAGACTTCTTAGAAGTAAGTTTCTTGACTTGAACGATGTCTTGGACATCTTCTTCAACATCATAGTCTGACTCATTATCAGACAACACCTCTCTCTTCTTGGACACATTCACAACCTTGCTCCAAGCTTTAGGAGGACTAGCAACAGGTTTCTTGGTGCTCTTGGTAGGGGTGTTCTCCATAGCCACATCCTTACCTTTCCTGCTTTTCAGCCTCTTGGCAACATGTTGGTGCGGTAAAGCAGCAAGCAAAAAATATTAAGTAACCCAGTTTTGTCGTCTCCACAGGGATCAGTGCGATTTGAACGCCGTTCAACGATTTCCATATTTCTAAGCTTATTGTTCAACAGGGTTGGTTAAAAAGGTTCAGGGAACCATAAATAAAAACAGAAAATATAAATAAAGACTGAAATATAAACGGAGCCTTGTTGGGATTGGATTTCATCAATTGATAACACATGCATTCTTCTGATCAAATTAAACACAACACAATCATTCGTCTAATATCCTTACGTATCACTCACGACAAAGCTTATCTCTAACGCGGCGTCGAGAGAAAAACCGTGTTGTCTCATTGGTGATCTCTCACCCAACAAAAACACAACACAGAGCATTAAGATCTGATACTCACGCAAATGCTAAGCCTAAATCTATCTCTAGCGTTTAGGACCTAACAGACAATCATCC